TGTGTGTGAGTGTGTGTGTGTGTGTGTGTGTGTGTGTGTGTCTGCGTCAGTGTGTATGTGTGTCTGTGTGTGAGTGTGTGTGTGAGTGTGTGTGGGGGGGTTGTGAAACTGAGTGTGTGTGTGTGTGTGTGTGTATGTGTGTGTGTTAGACTGTGTGTGCGTGTGTGTGTGTGCACATGTGTGTGTTAGACTGTGTGTGCGTGTGTGCGGTATTTGTTGGTGTGTTATTTAAGCATTTGTCATTTAAGACAAAGTGGCATTAGCCCAGACTGCTTTGGACAGAATCGGGGACACAACTACCAGTGATCCACCCTAGTTTATTCTGGTGTTACCCTGTTCCAGGCACGGACTCTCTCTCTCCCTCACACTCTGTCTCTCTCTCTCTCTCCCTCACTCTCTCTCTTCCTCCCTCTCTCTCTCTCTCCACCGTCTAGCTGCTATTAAAGAGAGCAGCAGGGGCTGCTGAGTACAATGCATCGCCAACACCAAGGAATCGAGCCAGACTCTCAGTCCCAGCACTCGATCCGTTCTCTGCCTTCTGCAACATCTTCATATCCACCAACTGCAAGGTATTTAGTAGGACTTTGTAAACCTGCTTCAGATCAAGTTTGAAACCCGTTAGGTCTCGCAAATAGACTTTGTGAGAAAGGAAAAGAATATCGCTCTGAAATAAGTCTTGGTAAATTCAATGAGTTTGAAAATTAGAAGTAAACTTTCAGAAGTGGCGCAGCAACACAATATTATTGTGTGAGTGATTAATGGCAAGTTATATTAAAGTGTAAGCAGGTAATTTGAATTAATGCTCACTTTTAGTGAATGGATTGTGGGTGGGCTGCTCAAATGTTGTTCATGTTTATGCCCCAAAATCATTTTACAGAGCAAATTAATCAGAGCAAATTCGTTAGTCTGAAGTTAGACAAGCGGGGCAGGTCGTGTGTTGTAAATGTCCAGAACTGCATGTCTATTGATTTAATCGCCATGCCATAAGACTTAGGAGCAGAAGTAGGCCATTCAGCCCATTTAGTCTGTTCTGTCATTCAATGAGATCCTGGCTGATCTGATAATCCTCAACTCCACTTTCCTCCCTTTTCCCCATATCCTCTGATTCCCCTTCCTGATTAAAAATCTGTCTCTCTCAGCCTTAAATATATTTAATGACGCAGCCTCAACAGCCCTCTTGTGGTGATTGTAATGAGGTCAGCAGGTGGACCTCATAGAATCTGAGTTCCCCGACTGGGGCTGTTAATCTGGTCCAATCAGGGAGCCCTGGCTGACAGATATAAACAGGAGTGTTAGAGGTTCTGCTCACTCTGAGAGTTGGCTCTGAGGGAGCTGGGTCAGTGTCAAGGACTCTCCACATGTAAATAAAGGGGGACTTGGTGATGGGATACAAGCTACTGTGGAGATATTTCACCTCTGTGGTAAAGAATTCCACTGATTCACTCCCCTCTGAGAGAAGAAGTTCCTCCTCATCTCTGTCTTAAATGGGTGACCCCCTTATTCTGAGGCTATGCTGTCTGGCCCTAGACTCTCCCACAAGGGGAAACAACCTTTCCACATCTACCCTGTCAAGTCCCCTAAGTATCTTGTATTTTTCAATGAGGTCTCATCTCATTCTTCTAAACTGCAACGATCACAGTCCCAATCTATTCAAGTCTTCTCATCAGACTGTCCCTCCATGGTTGGTTCATCTGCCTGCGTCTGGGAAGTCTTTGAGTAAGATTACTGGTTCACCAGTTAAAACTCATTCATAGCGTCATACAGCACGGAAGCAGACCCTTTGGTCCAACTTCCTTTCAACAACAATCTGCATTCTTTTAGCAGTGCGAACATTTCAAGTTGGTTAGCACAGTTGACTGAATGATTGGTTTGCGGTACCACTAGCATGGGTTTGAATCCCATACTGGCTGATGTTACTATGAAGGGCTCTCCATCTTATCTTCCCCCCTTCCCTTCGATGTGGTGACCCTCTGTTTAAACAACATCAGTCCTCTCTCTGTCATGACGGAAAGGACTGTGATGCCTTTACTTATTTTTAACATCATCAAACATCCAAGGGCACTCACAGGAACCCGATCAACATTTAGTGCTAGTCCCACATAAGAAGATATGAGGGCAGGTGACCAAAAAGTTTAATCAAAGAGATAGTTTCTAAGGAGTGTGGTTAAATTGAGAGAGAGAACTTTAAAGAGCAAATTCCAGAGCTTAGTTTACAGGCAGCTGAAGGCACAACTGCCTTCATTAAGATTGGGAACATAAACCAGACCAAGGCTGGAGAGCACAGAATCATCAAATGGTTATACTGCAGGAGGAGACCATTCAGTCCATCGTGCACACTGTCTCTTTGAGCATTTCGACTTAGTGCTAAACTCCTCCCTTTTCCCTGCAATGTTACACATTGTTTCTGTCCCACCCACTGTCCCTCCTGAACGCCTCAGTTGAACCTGCCCCCTCCACCTTTCCAGGTAGTGCATTCCATACCCTAACTACTCACTGGGGTGAAAGCATTTATTCCTCGCCTTCCATTTTGCTCTTTTGCAAAACACTTTAACATTTTGTCTTTCGTGATTAATACTTTTCACAAGCTTTGAACCTTTTGAGAAAGGAATGAGGAAGGAAAACATTTGTTGGACTGCATGGAATAGCAGGAGCTTCAGGAATAATTCAGTAGCACCAGTATGATGGGTCAAACTACACAATTCTAAAACCTATTTGTATTACTGATTGCTCTGACATGCTTGTTGTTTTTAACTGATGGAATAAGATTTAAATAGTTCCCTTAAGTTCTAGACCTGTTAACAAATGGGAGCCCTTTCCCTGGAACCATTCGAGAAGGCCATAGGGCTGGAGGAGGTTGTGAGATAGGGAGGGGATGATGGCATGAGAAGATTTAACAATGCATTCATAGAGTTGTCCAGCACAGAAATAGACCCTTTGGTCCAACTCGTCCATGCTGACCAGATATCCTAAATTAATCTAGTCCCATTTGCCAGCATTTGGCCCATATCTCTCTAAACCCTTCCTATTCATGTACCCATCCAAATGCCTTTTAAATATTGTAATTGTACCAGCCTCCACCACTTCCTCTGGCAGCTCGTTCCAAACACACACCACCCTATATGTGAAAAAGTTACCCCTCGGGTCCTTTTTAAATCTTTCCCCTCTCACCTTTAACCTATGCCCCTCTAGTTTTGGATTCCCCTAGCCTGGGGAAAAGACCTATTCACCTTATCTATGCCCGTCATCACTTTATAAACCTCTATAAGGTCACTCCTCAGCCTCTGACTCTCCAGGGAAAATAGGCCCAGCCCATTCAGCCTGTCCTATAGCTCAAACCCTCCAACCCTGACAAGATCATGGTAAATCTTTCCTGCACCTTCTCAAATTTAACAACAGCTTTCCTATGGCAGGGAGACCAGAATTGTATGTCATATTCTAAAAGTGGCCTAATCAATGTCCTGTACAGACTCAACATGGCATCCCAATTCCTATACACAATGTTCTGACTAATGAAGGCATGCATGCCAAACACCTTCTTCACTACCCTGTCTACCTGCGACTCCACTTTCAAGGAAATATATACCTGCACACCTAAAGTCTCTTTGTTTGGCAACACACCCCAGGACCTTACCGAATACTGCCCTGATCTGCCTTTCCAAAATGCAGCACCTCACATTTATCTAAATTAAACTCCATCTGCCACTCCTCGACCCATTAGCCCATCTGATCAAGGTCTTGTTATACTCTGAGATAATCTTCCTCACTGTCCACTACACCACCAATTTTGGTGTCATCTGCAAACTTACTAACCATTCCTCCTGTGTTCACATCCAAATCATTACTATAAATAACTTGTCTCTTATGCCTTAATACCCATTATAACTATTTTGCAACATGCTGCAGCAATCCAAACACATCACATAGAATTACACAGGAAGTCTCACAGAGAAACAGGATACTTAGCTCAACAACTATTCTACTTACTAGTCAAAACACACAAGGGCTCAGTTAAGAAATATTAAAATCCATTTTAGCAAAATGAACCTTAATCTGTCAGTTAAAAACAGCAAGCACATCAGGGAAGTCAGCAACACAAATGGGTTTGTAGAATTGTGCAGCATGGCCGAAGGCCATTCAGCCCATATTTTTTTCTGGTGCTGTCCACTCATTACTGAAGCTCCTGCTATTTAAGTAGTCTAGTAAATGCTTCCTTTTCTAATGTTCTTGTCTCATCCCTCAACAAAAGATTTAACACTTGTGAAAAATACTACCCATGAAAGATAAAATGTTAAAATTCATTGCTTCTGCCTAAATTTGAAAGTATTTATAGGCATCAATAACAGTTTAGGGAAAACCCTACCATTCCTTCAGCTACCTGAGTCCTAAACTTGGGAATTCACTTCCTACACCCCTATCTTGCTTGCCTCCTTTAAAATGCTCTTAAAAACCTCTTTCTTTGACCAAACATTTTGACAGCTGGTCTATTGCGGCTGGATGTCACATTCTTGCTGATGAGTCTCCTGCAACGAACCGGCTTTACTACCTTGAAAGGTGCTATGCAAGTGCAGGTTTTGATTACTGTTGGGAAGAAGTATAGTCTGGAACTCAGTTACTTGCTGCAGCTTTACTTCAATATTGAGCACCATTCATGGTACAAAGTTATGGGACCTCCATGTGGCAAGAAATGGTATTTCACCACTGCGCTAGAAGAACAGCTTGGAGTTTGCAACTGATTTCTGTGAAATTCACAAACACCTTTAGGGAATCACAGAACAACATAGCACAGTAGGAGGCCATTCTGCCCTTCGTGCCTGTGTTGGCTATTTGAAAAAACCGTAGAATTGGTCCCACTTCTCCTGTGCTTTCTCCATATTCCTGCAAGTTTCCCCTTTTTAAGTGAGTGTAGTATTTAACTTTGTTCCTTATTTCTTTCTGCCTTTTTCGTAAGTTTTCATACCTAGGTACTTGTACCTATAATGGCGTGCATGTGCGGCGATATTGAAAACTTTTCACTGCAGTTTTGCACTTCAGTACAAATAAAGCCTCAATGTACATCTAAAACTTTTGCAAACTGAATCTGCTTCCACCTTCTGGTCAGATATTGCATTGCAGGTCATAACAAACTTGCATGAAAAATGAAATCTCCTGGTAACCCCTTCTGGGGCTTTTGTTAATTACCTTAAAACTACGTTCTTTGGTTATCAAGCACCCCTCTCCACCCAATGCTGCCCCGACGACACCCTCCCCTCCCCACCAGTGGAAATAGTTCTTCCTTATTTCCTCTCTCTCAATCCTAATTTGAAACACCTCCCATCAGATCTCTCCTTAACTTTCACTGCTGCGGGGGGAGAAATGTACACTTTCTCTATTCTGAATCCCACTGACCGTTCAGCACCAGTCTCCTTTATTGAATGAATGCTTACCTGCATTGAGATGGACAATATGTGTCTTGCAGACCCAGATGCTACGTCAAACACAGGTGAAGGCATCTCTTCAGGTTCAAAGATAAACATTCTCCACAGAGGCCTATAAGTATTAAAAAGAAATTCAGGTATCCGCTTAATAGCTCAAAAGATGATACAGCATTTAAAACTTTAATCGCAACAAGCTGGAGCGTTGTGTGCAGTTCATAATATTCAAGGCTATGGGCCTAATGCAGGAAAGTGGGACTAATGTAGGTGGTATGGCCTCAGTGGGCTGAAGGGCCTCTTCTGCATTCTGTGAAGCGGACTGAAAGCAGCATTAACTAAACATTATTTTTGTAGACAATTTGTGCTTTAAAGTACTGATTTTTTTTATACAATCCCTACAGTGTGGAAACAGGCCCTTCAGCCAACAAGTCCACACCGAACCTCAGAGCATCCCACCTAGACCCACCCCCCTGTAACCCACCTAATCTACACATCCCTGAACACTACAGGCAATTTAGCACTGTCAATCCACCCTACCCTGCACATCTTTGGACTGTGGGGGAAACCGGAGCACCCGGAGGAAATCCACACAGACACAGGGAGAATGTGCAAACTCCACACAGATAGTCACCCGAGGGTGGAATCAAACCCGGGTCCCTGGTGCTGTGAGGGAACAGTACTAACCACTGAGGCACTGTGCCACCCTTTCATAAGATCTTTCACCTTTTACTTTGAACACCACCAAAAATCCCACACACGGTGTTGAAACAGCAATCATAAAACCACGTAATTGAAACAACACAACACTTTATTCCAAAGCAGCCAAAGTTATGAATCATTCTATAGACAGTGAAAGTGTATAGCAATACAAACACAAACACTGAAATATGTTAGGCTTCCTAAATGTATCAAACAATGTACAACAATCACTGATAGCAGCAGGAAAGATCTTAATTAGAAAACTTCATCTCAATCATTGTGAAACAATCTAACTGAGACCAGCAGCTAAAGTAACAACAAGTTCTTTATTTGTCTAACCTAATGGTAGAATTGTTAAACGTTTTAACAACGGAACAGTTGCATTTGTATAGTGCCTTTAATTTGGCAATTATTCCAGGGTGCTTCACAGGAGTGTTATGCTGACATTAGGATCAGTGATGGACAGTTTGAACAAAGAAGACAAGAGAAGAGCAGAGAGATTTTGAAAAAATTAATCACAGGATGTAGGTGTCACTGGCTAGGCCAGCATTTATTGCCCAACCCTCACTGCCCAGAGGACAGTTAACAGTCAACCACATTGGGTCTGGAGTCACATATAGGCCAAACCAGGTAAGGATGGCAGATGCCCTTTCCTACAGGACGTTAGTGAACCAGATGGGTTTTTATGCCAATCAACAATGATCACATGCTCAGCATTAGACCAACTTTTTATTCTAGATTTTAACAAATTCAAATTTCACCATCTGCCATGGGGAGCCGCCTGGGCTGGGACATTAAGTATATTCAAGGTTGAGACACACAGATTTTTAATCAGTAAGGGTTCTTAATCAACAGTTATGGGGAAGGCCAGAAGTCACACAACGCCAGGTTATAGTCCAACACGTTTATTTCAAATCACAGCACTCTAAAGGCTTGTAATTTCAAATAAACCTGTTGGACTATAACCTGGCGTTGTGTGATTTCTGACCATTGTCCACCCCAGTCCAACACTGGTACCTTCACATCATAAGAATTATGGGGAAGAGGCAGAAAGGTGGACATGAGGGTGGTCAGATTAGCCATGATCTCAATGAATATTGTAGCAGGATTAGTGGGCTGAGTGGCCTACCTCTGCTCCTATGTCATCTGGTTTTATGTTCTCAAAGTGTTAACTTTTCCTTTTCTCTTGCTCCTTCCAGTAAGCCCAGAGCACTGTGTAGGTTTCAGGCAGGTATGGTGGCTTGCAAAGGGATATGGACACAACAGTTCTGGAGAGCAGTTTCTGGAGAGTTTCTGGCAACACTCATCTTTGTCCTTCTCGGCCTGGGCTCGACAATCTCCTGGGGAGGTGAAAGCGCCCCTTTGGACATCGTCCTCATCGCTCTCTGTTTTGGACTTAGCATTGCAACCATGGTGCAGTGCTTCGGTCACATCAGTGGGGGTCATGTTAACCCTGTGGTGACAGCTGCTATGGTGTGCACTCAGAAGCTAAGCCTAGCCAAAGGAATTTTTTACATCATTGGCCAATGCCTGGGCGCCATCTCCGGTGCTGGGATCCTCTACCTGGTCACACCATTACACGTTGCAGGTGGCCTGGGAGTAACCAAGGTAATTCAGATCCAGAAGGCAGGAGCTGAGTGGACAGTAATGGGGTTGGCTGGGATGTCACCATTGCCAACGTTATTGGCAATACGCTCAGCCGGGGCTTGGCAGGGAACACCTTTGCCCCACTGTAGCCCAAACAGGCTGCCTCAGGCAGGACAATACTGAGAGCATTCCACACTATCAGCTCTGCATCGTCCGCCATTTCAATCGATTAACAGCCCCTACTTTGTAGAGCAGACCAGTCTCCCTGATGACCTTGGCCCATAGCCACCCACCAACCAAAATTAGGAACACTACTAATCATCTCAGCATCACAATGCTGTTTGTGGAATCTTGCTGTGCACTTTCTGTATTCTGATATTAATATATCCAATGATTGCAGTGACTGCACTTCAGAAGCACGACTGTAAGAAAATAACAGCAAGAGTAGGTCATCCAGCCCCTCGAAGCTACTCAGCTGTTCTTCACGATCTGGCGAATCCAACATTCCTCACATCCACTTTCCTGCCTTTTCCCCATAACCCTTTATTCATTGATTGATCAGGTGTACATTTGCTTTTAAGATGGTTTAGGGTTTCCCCGGGTTATAATGGGAATCAATTCAAATTCCAAATCAGAAACAAAATCCTTGACATTGTGTTTTGTTTATTCATATATTGATGCATGGGATGTGCGTATTGCAAACTCAGCCAGCATTTCTTACCCATCCCTAGTTGCCCCTTGAGAAGGTGGGGGTGAGCTGCCTTCTTGAATCACTGCAGTCCATGTGCTGTAGGTTGACCCACAATGCCCTTAGGGAGGGAATTCCAGGATTTTGACGCAGCAACAGTGAAGGAACGGCGATATATTTCCAAGTCAGGATGGTGAGTGGCTTGGAGGGGAACTTGCAGGGGGTGGTGTTCCCATGTATCTGCTGCCCTTGTCCTTCTAGATGGAAGTGGTCATGGGTTTGGAAGGTGGTGTCTGAGGATCTTTGGTGAATTTCTGCAGTACATCTTGTAGATAGTACACACTGCTGCTACTGAGCGTCGGTGGTGGAGGGAGTGGATGTGGTGCCAATCAAGCGGCTGCTTTGTCCTGGATGGTATCAAGCTTCTTGAGTGTTGTTGGGGCTGCACCCATCCAGGCAAGTGGAGAGTATTCCATCACACTCCTGACTTGTGCCTTGTAGATGGTGGACAGGCTTTGGGGAGTCAGGAGGTGAGTTACACATCATAGCCACTGACCTGCTCTTGTAACCACTGTATTTATATCATGAGTCTAGTTCAATTTCTGGTCAATGATACCTCCCAGGTTGTTGATAGTGAGGGATTCAGTGATAGTAACTGAAAGTCTTCATTTATATTTCTAGAATATTGTCAGGGCCCATAGCCTTTGCAGTGTCCAAGGCCCCCAACAGTTACCATGTGAAATGAATCGAATTGGCTGAAGACTTGTATCTGTAATGCTGGGGACCACTGACGGTGGCCAAGGTAGATCATCTCTTCAGCACTTCTGGCTGAAGATTACTACGAATGCTTCAGCCTTACCTTTTGCACTGATGTGGTGAGTTCTAAGGTCAGTGCAGTATGTGTTTTCCCTCCTGTTGGTTCCCTCACCACCTGCCACAGACCCAGTCGAGCAGCTATGTCCTTTAGGTCCCGACCAGCTCGATCTGTAGTACTGCTGCTGAGTACTCTTGGTGGTGGACCCTGCTAAAGCATATTTTGTGCCCTTGGCACCCTCAGTGCTTCCTCCAAGTGCTGTTCAACACGGAAGAGCATTGATTCATCAGCCGAGGGAGGGGGGGACCATGATAATCAACAAGAGGTTTCCTCGCCCGTCTTTGTTCTGAAGCTATGAGACTTCGTGGAGTCCAGAGTCAATGTTGAGGACTCCTGGAGCAACTCTCCCCTGGCTGAATACCACTGTGCTGTCACCTCGGCCAGTGAGATTGGGTGTATCCAGGGATGGCGATGGTGGTGTCTGGGACAGCCATTCTTACAGGATCATATCTTACAGGCAATGTCATGCTGTTGCTTGATTAGTTTCTGAGATAGGCCTCGCAGGGAAGGCTCCATAGCACTGTGCAGGTTCATTAGGGCAGTGTTCTCTGTTGTTTCGGGAGCCTTAGTCAATGACTGGTGGTCAGTATGGTTTTGATGCTTTTATGAGGATTTCTAGCAGTTGATCAACTGAGTTCTTGCTCATTTCAGAGGGCAGTTAAGGGTCAACCACATCACTGGGTGTCTGGGGTCACACCAGACCAGACCAGACTGTGTAAGGATGGCAGTTTTCCTTCCCTAAAGGACAGAAGTGACTGGTGGCATTTTTTACACTGGGTTTTATTTGTACAGAGGGAGGTCTCTCAGCACATTGGATAATCACCCTGCACCTGAATAAAAACTCCAGGCTCGAGATCACTTGATAGGATGATCCTGAATAACTGAAGGAATAATTTTTCCAAAACACAGATAGCAGTCAGTAAAAGCAGAAGAGATTTCTAATCAGCCATAGCCAATGTGAAGTGATGGCCCTCAAATGAAAGATATGGTTCACTTGGGGTCTAGAGATTCATTATGTGTGAACATAACTTTTTTTTCACTGGGATTTGGCTGTTACTACCCTTTTCTAAATTATCCTTGATTTCAATACCTTGCTCAATCATTCGGGCCAATAAGAGTAAGTGGTTTAGATTTTAAAGCCATCAAAGGGTTTAGGGAAAAAGCAGAAATTTATTGGGATAGAGTATTTACCTTGATCATGTTCAATGGTGAAGCAGAATTGAGGGGCCAAAAAGCCTATTGTCAATATCAAAACACATTACCCAGGTTCTGAAGTCACAAGCAGGACAGGCCTAGTTGGAAGATATCCTTCACTTATAGGGCATCAGTGAAACCAATGGGTTTTACAACAATGATAGTTTAATGGTCACAAAGACTAGCTTTCAAATCCCGATTTATGAATTGAATTTAATTTCCACCCGTTGCTGCTGTGGTGGGATTCGAACCCACGTCACCAGAGCAATAGCCTGGCTCTTTGGATTACTAATCCTTGCCACATGTCAGTAAAACAGAATAAGCAATTTGATATGAAGCTTTGAGCTCCAACGAGTGCTAGCTTTAAATGGTGTATACATAATTTAAATTAATTCAGTTTGGTTGAGATTTTTTCATTAAAAGTTTTGAATTAATCCTTTTGTAATGTCCAGTTCTTCCAAGTTCAGCAGGTGACGTGGAAGTGTCGGTGTTGGACTGGGGTGGACAAGGACAGAAGTCACACAACATCAGGTTATAGTCCAACAAGTTTACTTGGATTCACACAAGCTTTCAGAGCTGCCCCTTCATCAGGTGCAGTGAGAGAGCAAGGCACATAGACACAGAGTTTATAGGCAGAGAGATCAAAAGATCATATAACTGGTGTGATTGGAGTGTCAGATGATAAGTCTTTGCAGGTGGCCAAGAGTTTTAGACTCTAAAGTGTTTATAAAGTCAATGTCAGTGCTATGCTGTCATAACAGTCAGGCAGAGCCACAGGAATATACAAAGGGTGACATCTCAGGTCAGATACTGAATTGGAGGTGTGAGGCTTTGTCCAGAATCTGTCTCAGAGTTTTAACTTGGAATCAGGCTGGTTTTATTCTGAAAGCAGGAATTTATAAGATGCCACACGTGTGTGTGTGTCTGTGTGTGTGTGTGAGTGTGTGTGAGAGTATGTGTGTGAGAGTGTGTGTCTGTTTGTGTGTGGTATGTGTGTGTGTGTGAGAGTGTGTGTGTGTGGTGTGGTGTGTGTATATGTGTGTGTGTTTGTGTGTGTGTGTGAGAATGTGTGTGGTATGTGTGTGTGTGTGTGAGAGTGTGTGTGTGTGAGAGTGTGTGAGAGTGTGTGTGTTTGTGTGTGTTTGTGTGCGAGCGTGTGCGTGTGCGTGTGTGTGTGGTGTGTGTGTGTGGTGTGTGTGTGTGAGAGAGTGTGTGTGTGTGTGTGTGTGTGTGTGTGGTGTGTGTATGTGTGTGTGTATGTATGAGACTGTGTGTGAGAGAGTGTGTGTGTGTGTGTGTGGTTTGTGTATGGGTGTATGAGACTGTGTGTGCAGGGTTCCCAAGCGAAATATGAGGTGCTGTTCCTGCGGAGGCTTGGGGATTGCTTTGCGGAACACCTACCCTCGGTTCGCACTAAACAACTGCACCTCCCAGTCGCAAACCATTTCAACTCCCCCTCCCATTCCTCAGACGACATGTCCATCCTGGGCCTCCTGCAGTGCCACAACGATGCCACCCGAAGGCTGCAGGAACAGCACCTCATATTTCGCTTGGGAACGCTGCAGCCCAATGGTATCAATGTGGACTTCACAAGCTTCAAAATCTCCCCTCCCGCTACCGCATCCCAAAACCAGCCCAGCTCGTCCCTGCCTCCCTAACCTGTCCTTCCTCCCACCTATCCCCTCCTCCCACCTCAAGCCCCACCCCCATCCTCTACCTACTAGCCTCATCCCGCCCCCTTGACCTGTCCATCCTCCCTGGACTGACCTATCCCCTCCCTAACTCCCCACCTACACTCACCTTTACTGACTCCATCCCCCCCTCTTTGACCTGTCTGTCTCCTCTCCACCTATCTTCTCCTCTATCCATCTTCTATCCGCCTCCCTCTCTCTCCCTATTTATTTCAGAATCCCCTTCCCCTCCCCCATTTTTGAAGAAGGGTCTAGGCCCGAAACGTCAGCTTTCCTGCTCCTCTGATGCTGCTTGGCCTGCTGTGTTCATCCAGCTCGACACCTTGCTATCTCAGATTCTTCAGCATCTTCAGTTCCTACTATCTCAGTCAGATATAGTTCTTAGGGCTAAAGGGATCAAAGGTTATGGGGAGAAAGTGGAAACAGGAGACTGAGATGGATGATCAGCCATGATCACGTTAAATAGGGGAGCCGGCTCAAAGGGCTGAATGGCCTACACAAGCTCTTATTTTCTACTTTTCTATGTTTAAAATACAAAGTTAGAGTAATTACTAAAAATGAATGACAATACAGCCTTTATTCATTACTGATAATTAATTACTTATCCTTTGAGTAAAGCCCCTTAAGGTGCCTCTTAAAATCAAGCATCTGTTGTCATTTATGACTGAGAGTTTGTGTTTGAGATGATTAGCATGCCAGCACAAGATAGCTTCCTTCAAATATTATGTCACAAAGTGACATCTTGACCCCGTTAGGCCAACAGATCTCAAGTGCTAGTTAAAATGTCTCTGAAAATGGTTAGATTAAGCAAACCAAACCTTAAAACACAAACACTCTAAAGCCCAGGGCGGCTTACAAAACTTCTTCTTGGCATTGCAGGTAAATGAGAAGCTTTCGGCAGGACATGGCCTATTGGTCGAGCTGTTTATTACATTCCAGCTGGTGTTCACCATCTTTGCTACATGTGATTCCAAACGCAATGATCTCAAAGGCTCAGCAGCTTTGGCCATTGGTCTCTCTGTTGTCATTGGACACCTGTTTGCAGTAAGTTTATTGAACCACCTTGTAATCAATTGGGACTGATTGGTAGCTACCGTATACCTGCTGACTTTTCTTCCTGTACTCCAGGTTAACTACACAGGAGCAAGTATGAACCCCGCTCGATCATTTGGACCTGCAGTTATTACAGGGAAATGGGAAAATCATTGGGTAATTATCAGTGACTTATCATTAGTAGCAATAACTCAATTACAGTTTTCTCCAGTGATGGTAAATGATAGATTATATGGTCAAATTGGCACATTGCCCAGATTCAACGGGCTGAATGGTCTCCTTCTGAGCCATGACGATACTGTGATTTTTTAAAAATTATTCATTATGGGATGTGGGCATTGTTGGCTAGACTAAGCATCTCTGTTGCACTTGAGAAGGTGGGGGTGAGCTGCCTTCTTGAACCGTTGCAGTCCATGTGCTGTGGGTTGACCCACAATGTCCCTTAGGGAGGGAATTCCAGGATTGTGACCCAGCGACACTGAAGGAACGGCAATATATTTCCAAGTCAGGGTGGTGAGTGGAGGGGAACTTGCAGGGGGTGGTGTTCCCATGTGTCTACTGCCCTTGTCCTTCTAGTTGAAAGTGGTGGTGGATCAAAGGGGCTGTACACTACATTCTGACCACTCCCATAGCCTTACACATTTTCCCAATAAATTTTTATCCTTTCCACAGTTGCTCCTGAATGTGCTTCCACCATTGTTTCAAGTAATGTACTTCAGATCACAACAACTCACTTTGTAAATAAGTTCCTCCGCTTTTTTTTTTAGTCAATCTCATGAAATAAGTGGCAGAAATAGAGAGCATTGAACATAATGGCCCTCCACATTTGTCAAAACAGCTGCCAATGGCTTCCAGTAGGCAAAGTGGCCTAAAACTATCAAAGCTTATAACAATAGGAGTTGGAGTGGACAATTAGCCCTTCCAAGGCAATTCCACCATTCAATAAGGTCATGACTAAACTTCTTCCTCAACCCTGCCTTCTCCGTTACCATTTTATGCCTTGACTCCCTTAAAATCTGCACCTGAAAATGGGAACCTGTCAGCTCAGTCGGCTGGGGGCAGGGGGTGGGGGCTGGTTTTGCCAATACACGAGAGATGCTGACAGCATTTATTCAGTTCCAGCTCTAGCTGATGTTCCTATGTCAGTGCCAACTTCTCAACACGGCCTGAGGGCATTGGGACCCTGATGAGAGAGCAGGGCTTGTGGGCACTTTATCCTGTACACTCAAACATCTAGTGATCTCAGTGTCCAGCATACTCAATGACCAAGTATCCACAGCCCTCTGGGGTAGAGAATTTCAAAAACTCACCACCCTCTGAGGGAAGAGGTCCATCCTCATCTCAATCCTAAAAGGCTGCACTCTTTATTCTGAGACTGTGAGCCCGTTTTCTAGATTTTTCTGCCCCAGGGAGTCCTTTTCTCTAAGCATTTGTTGCGTCTCTCAAGCCTTCATAGAAACCCCAGAGTACAGAGAGAGGCCATTCAGCCCATCGAGTCTGCACTGATGCTCCGAAGAGAAGTACCCCACCCAGACCCACCCAATAACCCCACATTCCCCCTGGCTAACCCACCTAACCTGCACATCCTTGGACACTATGGACAATTTAGCATGGCTAATCCTCCCAAACCCGCACATCTTTGGACTGTGGGAGGAAGCCAGAGAACCCGGAGGAAACCCACACAGACACGGGGAGAATGTACAAACTCCACACAGACAGTCACCCGAGCGTTGGATTAAACCTGGGTCCCTGGCGCTGGGAGGCAGCAGTGCTGACCACAGTTCCACTTCCATATGTTTATATTTGGATCACAGGTCAGTCTTACAAAACAGCCCGAGCCCAATAGCCCATCCCTGTGTTCGAGGTTCAATATCTTTGCCTTTCTCATTGTGTCATTCCACTTTCTCCCTGACCTACAGGTTTACTGGGTAGGCCCTATGATGGGTGGAATCATTGCTGCTGGCCTCTACGAATATCTCTTCCGCCCAGACAAAGAACTGAAGAACCGCCTTAAGGATATTCTTAAGCCTACACAACCTCCTGGAGACAAATGCATTGAGGTGGAGGACAACAGGAGCCAAGTTGTTGGCTACGATGAATTGGTCATCAAACCTGGTGGTTCTGAAATTATTGGCATGGATAAAAATGAAGCTAAGAGGGAAAATGATGTCACAAAAGAACTTCTGTCATCTGTATGACTAGCAAAGAGCACAGAGAGCAGAAACGATCTCTTGAGTGTGAGTGTCATTTCTCTAAAGGAAACAGACCTGTTGTAGATACAAGGTACTATGTACCTCTTCCATAATTGTGAGAGCAATTACTCATTCACTGAAACTCAGAATGGTTATGGTACAAGAGGAGGCCATTCAGTCTATCATGCTTGCACTGTCTGTATCCCCTAGTGCCAATCTCCTGCCTTTTCCCCATCTCCCTGCTCACCATTTCTATCCAATTAACCATCCAATGCCCATCTTGAATGCCTGAATGGAACCTGCCTCCACTACATTTCCCAGGCAGTGCATTCCAGACCCTCACTACTCGCTGGGTGAAAATGTTGTTTTGCACATCCCCTTTGCTTCATTTGTTCCTCATTTTAAATCTGTCCCCTCTCATTCTTGTTTCTTTTATGAGCGGGAACTGCTTCTCCCTTTCAACACTATCAAGTCCCCTCATGATTTTAAAAATCTCTATCCAATCTACTGTAAAAACAATAAAATTAATTTTAGTATATTTCAGGAAGGTGACACAAAAGGATGAAGTTATAGAATCCCCACAGTATGGAAACAGGCCATTCAGCCCACACTGACCCCCCAAAGAGCATCCCACCCAATTCCTGTAACTCTGCATTTCCCATGGTTAACCCACCTCGCCTGCATGTCCTTGGATGCTTTGAGTAATTTAGCATGGCTAATCCATCCTAACCTACACATCTTTGGACTGTGGAAGGAAACCCACACAGACACAGGGAGAATATGCAAGCTCTGTACAGACAATTGCCTAAGGGTGGAATTGAACCTGAGTCCCTGGCATTGTGAGGCAGCAGTGCTAACCACTGAACCACTCTATATTTTGTGCTTGAGTCAGTAATTTCATGTATTCCCTTTTATACAGCTCACTCAGATATTTGTAAGGAAGTTTATTTTGAAGAATGTGATGATGTTATGGGCTGTACTGATGGAAGGGTTCCTTGACCCAGGGCCTTTCTAACATTGTTACCAGGAAGTCTACAGCAGTGAAAATCTTTGGTGGCAGTGAATCATTTTGGATTTAACTAGTTACTGTTGGAAGTTTTTCACAACGTAATACGCAAGATGGCTGTATTTTAGCTGAATGTTTAATGATAATGAATCAACTAACTGTGCCAGCTGGTGCACATGCCTCTGCTTTCAGTCCCACACACTGATGAGAGTATGTTTCTTCCCAGGAAGAGTTTATTTGCAATGTGTAAGATTGCTTTCTTTAACAGTACAACACTATAATATTTAGACATAGTCTCCAAGTTAAAAAATTCTACTCCTTGTACTCAGGTCCCCTGTGGCCTATTCCCTGAGATTTTCACCTCATCCCCAAGACCTCTGTAGTGCTCCGATTCTCCCTGATAACCTCCATGCTATTGCTGACAGCTCTGGGATCAGCTGTTTATGTCCAAAGTTCATTCCTAATCCTTCCCACATTTCTTTTCTCCTTTCAGGTGCTTTTTTGACTGCAGATGATTCATTGACAGGATGTCAGCTAGTCCAGCATTTATTGCCTGTCCTTAATTGCCCCTGAACTGAGAGTCTCACTCAGAGGGCACATAAGAGACAACCTTATTGCCCTGGGTCTGGAGTAACACGTAGGCCAGGCCAGGTAAGGACGGCAGATTTCCCCTCCCTGCAGGTCATCACTGAGCTAGATGGTTTCTTTTCCAAAAATGGTTTCCTAGTCATCTTTAGATTCTTAATTCCAGATTTTCATTGAATTCAATTTCGTTCAAATTCAAAGGAACCAAAAGAACTGCAGATACTATAAAGGAGAAACAAAAACAAAAATTGCTGGAAATGCTCAGCAGGTCTGGCAGCATCTGTGGAGAGAAATCAGAGTTAATTAGTGGCCCTTCCTCACTCAAATTCCACTGTCCGTCTTGACTGGATTTAAACTTGGGTCCATAGACTGGGCCTCTGTATTAGCAGTCTAGTGGTAATACCACCAGGCCAACACCACCCCCATGTTATGCATATGAAATGGTAAATCATGTTTGTCTGCTCTCTTAGTGGTCCTTAGAAATCACTTAGAAATTGAATATTGCTGAAAGTAAAGATAGGCTGTTGAAGGGTTTCCTCTTGCATTCATCAGGACAGATGCAAGAATGTCAAATTTTAAAGGGAGCGACAATTTACGCTGCATGAGAAAATGATGTTGATGCAATTTCAGTGTTGATGTGGTGCCAGATACTGACACCATTTACACCAAGGATTGGCAGTTTGATTCAAACAGTGCACCCTTCTGCAAGTTCATAATACATGAATTCACAAGTTGGGGGGGATATCAATGGCTTGGTGTTATTCTCACTACACTGTCAATCCAGATACCCAGGCTAATGTTCAGGCTAACGCAGACTCAAATCCTACCAGGCCCGATGGTGAAATTAGAATTCAATTTTACAAAAGAAATCGGGAATTAAGATTGTTGGAGAAAAACCCATCTGGTTCACTAATGTCCTTTAAGGAAGGAAACTCCATCCTTACCTGGTCTGGCCTACATGTGACTCCAGACCCACAGCAATGTGGTTGACTCTCAACTGCCCTCTGTGCAATTCAAGATAAGCAATAAATGCTGGCCTAGCCAGCGATACCCTCATCCTGTGAATGAATTTTTTAACATGCAGATTACTGACTGGGTCCATTTAGCTCTGCATGCACAACTCAGAAGTCCATAAGAAATAAAGAACAGGAGTAGGCCATTCGGCCCCACAAGCCTGCTCCACCTTTCAATAGGATCATGGCTGATCTGACATCCTTCATGTCCACATTTCTGCCCCTGCCCCATATTGCTTGTTTCCCTGACTGATCTTATCTATCTCAGCCTTAAGCATAAGGACTCTGTCCCCACAGCTCTCTGGAGGGCATTGATGTGATTCCATGGTTTAACACCACTTGTTGAACAATTCTGAATATGCTATGAATTACAGGAATAACCAATTAAAATTCAGCAGTGTGGCTAACAGTGTACCTTACTTCCCCTCCCCTACTTCTGAAGAAGGGTCCCAACCCCAAACGTCAGCTTTCCTGCTCCTCTGATGCTGCCTGGCCTGCTGTGTTCATCCAGCTTCACACCTTGTTATCTCTGACTCCAGCATTGGCAGTTCTTAATACCCCTTTATAGCTTACTGAAAGCTACAGGTAGTCACCTGCCCCTTGCAGGAAACAAGAATATGACCGAGCACATTCCTCCTTTTAGCAATCAGAGGAAAACAAAGGGAATAGTAATTCTCTGGTACATTCTCCATGGGCACAAGACAAACAATTAGCTTGCTATGCAATTCAGCATCTCAATGCAGGTTGCACAGCTTGTTTCTCTCTTCAGTATCAATTTAATCAATAGTTATTGGTTTCAGTTGCACTTCAGTTGGTAGCACTATCATTGATGAATTGCAAGGGCAGGGGTTCAAATCCCACTTTAGGGAATCCAGGTTATAAAGAAACAAAAACTAGTTCTGCTATGTGGCTCTAAGAGGGAACTGTGTTGTAGAAGGGGCTAACATTAGGCTGAACCTGTCACATGTGTCTTAAATTGCCCGTGCAGGACAGTTTATTAGGTTTCCTGGCCATCTCTTTAACAGATCACCTGGCCATTAACACATTCCTCTTTGTGGGAGCTGGCTGTGCAAAAACTGGTTACTGTCTTCCTCATATTACAGCAGTGATCACACTTGTAAATTACTTCAATGACTATAAATCACTTGAAGATTGACTGAATTCTTCAAGGCGCTATAGAAATCCAACTGTTTTCTTCCTTTACCTCTTTGATAAAGCTTTTGGTCACCTGCCATAATATCTTCTCTTGAGGTTCACTGACAACACAGCTGTGCAGCACCTTCAAAGTCTCATTATGTTAAAAGTGCTATATTGACATATGCTGTTGTTTGTACCAAATGAAGTTTTACTCGCTAGTAATAGTTTTCTATATTTTCTCAATTCATGTTTCATTATATGGAGACGTATACTCTTGTTTATATCTAATAGATATGTTCAGCCTTTCTGATACTTGAATAGGTTATTAACGAAGTGTAAAATGGTCTCACTCTGTAGATTTAAAGAAACAGGCATATTTTGAATGAGTTATGATCTCTGCATTTTGTTGCTGAATTATCAGAGATGTGGCTGCCTGAGTTTTATTTTCTTAAACTCCTTACTCTTTAACTTAATGTGTTGTTTTGAAATGTTTGTGAGACTTTACTTTAGATAAACTAATTAAATTTTCTATCAAGGGTCAAATATATGGAAAGTCTTGCAATGTATGTTTCCCTACACCATCATCAACATAGAAGCTAGGAGTAGGTCATTCACCCTTTGAGCCTGGTCCTCCATTCAATAGGATCATGGCTGATCTTTCAACTGAATGCCATATTCCCACTTCCTTGATAAATTATTGGGTAAAGTCTCAGCTTTTTAAAAACTTATTCAGAGAAGCTGGACGCACTGTTTTTTGCTTTGGCTAGCATTTCTTACCCATCCCTAGTTGCCCCTTGAGAAGGTAGGAGTGAGCTGCCTTCTTGAACCGCTGCAGTCCATGTGCTGTAGTTAGACCCACAATGCCCTTAGGGAGGGAATTCCAGGATTTTGACCCAGCGACACTGAAGGAATGGCGATATATTTCCGAGTCAGGATGGTGAGTGACTTGGAGGGGAACTTGCAGAGGGCTGGTGTTCCCCTGTATCTGCTGCCCTTGTCCTTCTGGATGGAAGTGGCCGTGGATCTGGAAGGTGTTTTCTGAGGAGCCTTCCTGAATTTCTGCAATGCATCTTGTAGGTAGCACAGAGACAGTAAGAACTGCTGATGTTGGAGTCTGAGATAACAAGGTGTGGAGCTGGATGAACACAGCAGGCCAGGCAGCATCAGAGGAGCAGGAAAGCTGACGTTTTGGGTCTGGACCCTTCTTCAGAAATGGGGGAGGGGATGGGGGCTCTGAAATAAATAGAGAGGCGGGGGTGGTGATA